AATTAAAAATAAATTTTTATAATAATCTTTATTTTATTATTATTTATATAATCAGCAAATATATTTATTGGATTTTATTAAAATAGGATCCTGAACATATATGAAATAACTTATAATTTGACTTCACTAATAGAAAAAGAGCAGATTTGACTAAATTTAAAAGTTCAAAAATTAAATTTATAAGATTATCCTGGTTACATTTAGCTGAATTTTTTTTAAAAATATAGCTCTTAATAAGCTTTATCAAAAAAAAAAAATATTTAAATTAAATTATTAAATACTAAAAAAATCATAAAATATTAAATTTAAATAAATATTTATTTAATTAATAATTTATATATCTTTTACATATGCATTTGTTATGTAAATAAAACAAGTAAATCTAACTAAATAGAAATTTTATTTAAATGTAATAATTTGTATATTATGCTCTACTCTAATATAACTTGACTCAAGTTGAATCAAGTTAAATTTAAATATAATTTAAGTTAAATTGAGTTAGAATTTAAAATTTTTTAACTTAACTAAACTCACCTTTTTAAATTGAATTATCTTTAAAATTCAATTCGACTCAATCATTAGAAACTTTCATATGCAATATAAACATATAATATATGATACCAATAATATGAAATATATTTCTTTTAAATATGTATTTATAAATTATAATAAAATATGAAAATTATATCAATTTCTTTTAATTTTAATTAAAAACTATTAGATTTGAATTAATTTTCTTAAGTAATATAAAATAATAAAATATTATTATTTATTATCGTCAAATAATCCATTAAAATTAATATTAATTTTTTTAATATCAATCTATAAATATATATGTAATTTAAAAAAAAACTTTTTTATTTATTTATTCTGATTAAAAATAGAATTGTAATTATTATCTTGAATTACAACTATTTATAAATTTTTATCATCTTTAATTTTAATAAAAAATATTTCCATCTAAATTAAATGAAGATTAAGCAATAAATTCTTTGCCTTCAGAAAGACCTATTAGAAATACAAATTTAACAAAATCTTAAAAAGGCATTTCTTTGATTATTTGAATATTTGATTTATATGAAAACTTTTTTTTAAATGAATTGTAACTAATCTGACTTTGTTTATTTTAATGATATAATAGAAATTAAAGGAATTATAACCAGAATTAAATCTTAGATAAATAAATAAATTTGTATTATTACTAACTAATTAAAAATAAAAATTCACTTAAATTATTAATAGATAATTAAATAATTAAAATTAAATGTTTTATATTTTTTAAAAAATTAAATTATAAATAAATTTGCTTATTTTTAAATTTATAATATATTGACAATATTAGTTATTAAATAATAAATTTAAATTTAAAATAAGTTAAATAAAGATTTATAATCTAAATAATATTAAAGTTAATAATAATATTCAAAACCTATTTTTAATATGCAGCTTTAAAAATTTAGTAACTTTTTTGAAATTTTTAAAATGACTTTATTTTAAATCTAAAACTTAAACTTAATTGAATTTAAAAAAAAAAACCTATAAAAGTTTAGGTGAAGTTATTTACTATAAACAAATAGTTTAATCTCAAATATCTTGAAACTCAAATTTTCTAAAAATAGTTTAAAAAGGCATCTTTAGTTCAAATCATTTTTTTTATATATTTATAAAAATACTATGTATTGAACATAATTCCTAAATTAGGTCATGAAAGCTCACATAAAAAAAATAGAAATCATTGGTGAAGTTCTAGGTTTAAACTTTTTATAATTCAATCGTTTTTTGTGATTAAAACTTTTGAGTAATTGTAATGCATACTGAAATCTGTGATAGGTTACGCTAACATATAATTTAATTTATGTGGTTATTTTACAAAAAAAGAGCAAATTTTACTTCTTTGGTCCTTTAGATCCGGATCTGTGTCCAATAACTTATCTGTCGAAACTCTACTGTGCACATGAGTCAATCAAATTGTAAATTATTTCCAAATAAAGTATTTTGACAATGAGTTGGCGTAATTGTCTCGGATTTCAGGTATATAGAATTCATTTACGCAATACTTAATAATCGTATTAGTATAATTCTTGTTTTGAATGTACCCGTATTATAACAAAGGAAAATCTCACAAAGTAATTATGATTAAACAATAATATTAATAATATTGATCCATAATAGGACGACATGAGAACACCTAATGCATACATTCATTGTAGTTAAATGATACTCAATTCTTCCAAAATTAGACTAATTTCTCATCAATAGTTATGTTAATGAAATATTTTCAATGTTTAATTTATTGTATTTTTTTTTAATTATTTAGAAATAATTTGATAATCATGTTTAAGAAAAATTTGAATAAACGTAAAATTAAATGATATTTAATTTAAATTTTTATAATAATTCCAAAAAAAAATTTTTTTAAAAATCATAATCACTATTTATAACTATTAAAGTTTTGATAGGTTCTTGGAATTTAAATGAAACGTCTATTTGTCGCACTTTTGTAAGCTTTCGAAAGTATTTATACATACTTCCTTTCCAGTTGAATTTACAAAAATTTCGTGGTGGTTTATCACAATTTCGAAATTTTCACGTGATTACTAAAGGTCTGCAATCTTAAACTATTATTGTATAATAAAGGAAACTGCAAATTGGCTTCTGTTTAAAGTTTAACCAATAAAGTAGAGCTTTTTGAAAGGAAGATGCAAAATTTTCTTCGTACTACTTATCACACAAACTAACAAAAATTCCCTCTTTTTTTATAAAATCGTTATTTATAATAGTATTACTAAAAAAACTTGATATCTATTAGGTAAACAAAGTTCTTGCTTAACTAATACTAATTGTTCAAATACGATAACATGCCGGGTGTAATTTCGAATATGAACATGTATCGTTAAGATCCAACCAATATTTTGGAAACTCGGCGTAATCTTAAACTTATAATAATTTAATTACATCTATTATTAAAGTAAGTTCATCCATCTAATATATTTACTTATATTTGTTTGATAATTGTTTTGAGGCATCTATCCAGAGCACTGTTTTAGTGCTGACCAATTATTTGTTTTAATACATACTTACGGCCTTCAAAAAAGTGTTTTAAACCTTTTAAATCGAATTAACATCTAGTATTCTTGTTATGCTTTTCCGGATAATCTCGCTTTTGATCACTTTGTCGGTCGTTCTCTAAGTACTATTTTGTCGGAAATTTTATTATTGGCTATGAAAAAAAGATTACGTTTCAAAATCATTGGTTCGGAATATTTAAAATTGTTAATTATATTCTTATAAAAAAAATGTTCTGTTTTTTTTTGTGATTGGATTTCGGAATTGGTTCCTTATTTACGATTACAAACTCATTAGATTGTAAAAATTTGTATACTTTACTATTAATTATATAATCAGAAGTTTCTAAAATTTATATAAATTTGTGCAACCTGCACTTAATAATAATAATGATAATGCAGCTTCCGTTCCGATATATTATCTAATATTTTATTAATCATTTATTACAAATATATACATGTATATATATGTATACATATATATATCTGAAATATGCCTACTAAAGATGGAGATAATCGAACTGCAATAAACATCTTTTATTTATTTATTTTTTTTTTTAAGACAAAAGCCAAAAAATAATATATTTCTGGTGAAAATAATTAAGAAACGTGAACTGTAAATTATCTGGGCATCAACGGCCTTGATCTCCATATTTGTAAATTTGCCAAAGAACTTTCTGGAGAAAGCTTCCTTCTTCTTAACTGTTCGTTAAAAAGAGTATTACTTTGTTTTCAAAAACTTTTAGAGTAATGATTCAAATGTGACAATCTTTGGCGATTAAATTAAAGACAACAAAGACAACAAATAAACATTACATATAATAATTCAAGTTTACTAATAATCTTGTAATCGTTAAATACGGTAAATAAAAATTATCAAATTAATTTATATAAGTGGTAAATAAAACTTTATATATTTTTCGGCATTAATTTTATCCTTAAAATTCGAGTCGAATCTAATATCTATAAAGGTCGGAATTAAGTGATGCTGCAAGGAAAAGTTCTTTAACTAATAAATTAAGAAAGTAACAAAGACCTTTATTACTTAGTGAAAGGTTACGTTAGCCGAATATCATTACGTACAAAATGTATTGTCTTTTTTTAGACTAGATTTGAGAATATGCAGAATGGCGGTATTTTTTTTATGTTCTTCCTAATTTGGCATAGATCAGCAGGGTTTAACACGTGACATTTGAATTGGTAAGCAATTTTTATAAAGGTATTTTAAAAATTTTATAAAATAAATAAGTAGATGTAGAAAAGGTAGAAAAGGAGTAAATGTTTACCAATTATGAATTATTACTTAAATTATCAGATAAAAAATGCTTATATAAGCCAGGTACACATACTAGGTTCAATAATCTCTATAAGGAAATTATATGCAAATAATATTTAATTGAATTAAAAAAAAAGTTTAATTTTTAATTTTTTGATGCGGATTAAGTTTAACTAATCGTATTTATATATATATATATAAAAATATTAGATAAATGCTTAGGTCATAGATTAGTAACTAACTGATTAGCATATAACGATATTGTTATACTTATTTTGTAAAATTAATTGGATTAAAATTTAATCTTAATTCATGCAATATCGATCATTGATAGCTGTCATTAACCAATCGCTTTTACAAAATTATCTAAATTTTTATTTAAATATGAAGCTTGGTTGATAATTCGATTTCTTCTGGGACGATCGATTTTATAAACTTGCAAAATTGTAATATATCGTGTTTACCTGTGTCATATAACAAATGTGTATGTATTTGCATATTATTGTAAGTATAATTTTGAGAGAATATAGGATTATACATCGCAACTGTTACGTAATATTTCTTGAAATCACAAGATACTATTCCGTGTGCATTCATGGGTAGTTTTGCGCATAAATTAATTCGATTAAAATTAAATGTTTTTAATTATATAAGGCATCATGAATCCTCAAATTTCAAATATAGTTCTAAATGCAATGGATTTTTATCCAATGGATCATTTATATTTCGATAATTTCGATAATAATAATAGACCACTATGTCCTTATCTTCTTCAAAATTACGACAATACCCAAACAGCCACTTCAAACCACCCCTTTGTTACTTATATTGAAAACGCTTGCACATACGAATCTTTATCAAATTCATTTAGAGTTCCCTCTGAGCCAAAACAAGATAAAGATCAAGGTAATTTGTCTTGCTGATCATCTTATTGAAACTACAGTAGATCAATAAATTTTAACTTTTTCTTTAGGTTTTTTAACTAAGGAGGAACCAAACACTAGTATGAAACTATCTGATGGCAAAAGGGAAAATATGGAAATAAATACATCTAAATGGTCCAAAGAAGAAATCGAAACCCTACTCAAATTTTTGAAAAAACAAAAGCATGTGATAAAAAAACTAGTAAAAGGGCGTGGTGGTTGTGGTAATATTAAATCAAAACTCTGGTTAGATGTCTCAAAAGAATTATCATATAAAAAAGAACCTCAGCGATGTGATGAGAAATGGAAAAACATTCTTCGGTCATACAAGGTAAAATTATTTTTTCTAATAAAAATTCAAAGGAATGTGATTCATATATTTAAATTAAAGTAAATTATTATCATTTAGAAGCGTCCTAATTTTAAGTATAAATCAGAAGTTAAAGAAATTCTTGAGTGATTACGATAGAGCTTTATTGGTAGGATCTTAACATGAAGTTACACCCTGCAGGCAATTTTTATTTTTAAAGAAAAAACGAAATATCGATAGTAAATCATTATAATTTAGATATATACAATGTAATATGATTTTTTATAATAATAATAATAATAATAATAAATTAATAAATACAGTATATAGATATACTACTATAATTGTATTTGATAAAGAAAAAAATTTTCGATACCAGATGTATTGTAAAATCTTGTGTATCAACTCTGTATATCATTTTATATTAAATTATTCCATACCATTTTCTTAATCCGAAACCTTTAGTCAAGTGAACTTTCAGTTTCGCCCCTTTATGTTTCGGAACTATCTAAAAACTTTAATTTGGAAATGCTTTGTATATCAAATTGGAGACATATCTCCTTAAAATAAAGTTCATCCATCACAACTTTTGTTGCAATTGTCATTTTATCCACACTCTATTTTGCTTTTTCGTCATAATTAGTCTTTCCATCGATTTCATCAAATCATTCCCTCCTGTCAGTTGTTTAATAATTTTAATAATTTTAAACATTTTTTTCAACATGATAATACATTATGCTTTTGTAGAATTACTATTGGATCGAACTTTGGATTTTGAAGATTCCATAAATGTGTGTAGGAAAATTGGAAAGATACACATACCTACCTATATATCACGTATAGGATGGGTTTTTATGTATGGAAAGTGTGGTTTTTTTTTATAATCCATTATTTCCATACATATATGAATCAATCCATGCCGGTTTGGATTATTCGAAGTTTATTTGTTGCTCATATGCTTATCTATTATAGTCGTAAATTTAAATAAGTTGTTTTATTATTTAAAATTTTTAGCAAATTTAATATAAATAAATATTTATAATAAATTTACTTCTTTGATTTATCGATTTTATTTTTTGAAAAATTATCCAATATAATAAAATATCAACCAATCACCATACATGCAATATTTCATTATTGTGATTAATTTGTTCAAACATTTTAAATGAATTAATTACGTAAAAAAAGAACTAATATTTTTGATATAATTCAATGCAAGCTAACTACCAAAAAATAACACCGTAACATTGATAGTGTATTTGTCTTTTTCTTTTATAACGGCAGAAGATTTTACATGTTTCAACATAAGTTACTAAACACAAGGGATTGGTGGTACGTGGAATACTTTTATATTCTGCACCTGAGTCATTTACTGTGCCTCTTTCCGGAAAAATGTTTATGCGTTATTCTGAAACATTTAGATGTTTCGGTAATTCATGTGTAAGCTTCCGCCCAAATATGTATGTTAAGGACCGGCTTTCATTCTATATATATATTCTCGTTTGTTAAACATGAATTTATAAACGCAACAAAGCAATATTTTTTTTATTTTTTTCTAAAAAACAAAAAAATTTTACTAGTAAAAAAAAAAAATCATTAAAAATGGGAATAAATTTAAATAAGAAATCTACAAATCTCAAGAAAATTTTTCATTATGATGATTTTGATGCAAAAAAATCCGTAACATCATGGTTTATATCACCGAAATTATTATTAATCATTAGAGGAATCATTTGCTTGTATTCTTGGATTGTGTTGATTGTAAAAATTATAAATTATGCAATGAATTATAATATAATATCCTTTTTATCGTTTTTTACTCACTTAAGTTATATCGGTTTGGTGGCTTATTTTACGGTGAGTATTCTTGAATGCCCGAGACCTTTTTTAAACACGGAAATTAACTTCAAAAAAATCAAACTTATTTTAAAATTAAAAAACAGACAGCGTTTTGTCATTCTTACCATTATGTAAGGAAAGATACAACAATTGCTCAGCATAAAATATTAGATTGGCTATTTTGGTCACTTTATCATTCACTAGCCCATTTCACGTTAGTATCATTTAATATTATACTTTTAAAATTTCTTTTTTCTAATAATTCATTTTCCTTTATATTAGAATGACAATAATTTTAACATATTGGATATTTTTATCGGGAAATTTTATTCAAGCAAATGCCCAACCGTTTAGTTGGTGGTTAAATTTATCGGTTCATGGATTGAACTTCCTCTTTGCCATAATTGAAATCTTTTTAAATCGTCAAATTATGGTTGCTTCGTTTGTCATTTTAAATCTTCTCATAGAAATTTTATACATGTTTGTCGTTTACATAAACTATGCAGTGTACGTGATTAAATTGATGTTTGCTCGTACTTTTTTTTTTCGTCATCCAATTCTAATTTGTCTTGATGAAATTTACAGGAACTCGAGATGGGTATACGGAATTTTGGATGTGACGAAAGGTTTAAAATCATTTTTGTGGTATATTGGATTGTTTATCGGTTATATTACAATATTCTTCATAATGTATTCTGTGCATATGTTGAGGGACTATTTAGGAAAAAAATTCGGTCATAAAAATTCTTCTCTTCCGATTTAATTTGTTCAAAGAAACTGGAGATCATTTCTAATTTCATTTGACATTTTAATTGCGTAAACTAGCTTAAAGTTTTTTTTTATTTTAATTTATTCTAACTCGTATAACAAAAGATGTTTCCAAATCATGGTTTGTATCAATAAATTCTTCAAAACAACAAATGAAGCGTAAGGAAAAAGCATGTCTCATGATGCGCCTTCATCTATAAACCCATTTCTCTTTAAAAACATTCGATTTGGTATCCTGGTATGCATTTTAAGAGCTTAGAAGTTCGAATCCTACCTCTCTCAAAATTGACAAGAACTTATCCGAGCAACAACCACCTTTACAATTTGATCAACCCGTTGGAAAACAATTTTTTGATAAGTTTGCGCTTCAAGTCTTATCGGTTGAGGGTGATGTTAAAAATAATTTATATACGAATAGGGTCTCATCTAATGCACAATAAAATGCTTAATATGAAATGATATTTTATCGAACAAATACATTATGGAATGAAAAAATTGAACTTACTGTATTGATATATTGATAAAAAGAGAATAATATGATTGGTCATCTGAATTGGAATTTGATGATCCCTTAAACTGTAATAATTAATTATGTGACTAGTAGCAAGCTTATACACGAGGTTCACCAAAAAAAAAGCATCACCCGGCAAAAAAATTTAAATTATAAATATCTTTTATTTTTAGTTATTGTACGACAATAAAAATTGATTCATTTTAATTGTTAATTAATTGATCTTCGCTTTTTGTATGCAATTAATAAAAAACATATTTATGTAAATGTAATAAATGAATATAATTATATTTTAAGTGATGCATTTCTTTTTACTGATTTTTAACAAAAGATCGCGTAATATTAAATTCATTAAAATATAAGATAATTGTTATATAAAAGTATATATAAAAAGCTTTAACAAAATGAAAGAATTCATAAACTGATATTTTTTTACCTTCAATGCCTCGAATATCAATAGAAAAACGATCTCGTATCCATACTCTTCATCAAATGGGAGAGGTTGCAGCTCAAGAAGGTGTTAATCAATCATCGGTTGTACGAATATGTAAAAAATTTAATGAAACTGGAGATTTTGATGATCGACCTAAATCTGGTCGCCCAAAATCATTGAGTGAAAGATATGAACGAAAACTCTTACGTTACATTCGTTCTGAAGAGTGTTTTACAGCCGTTGAAGTACAATCCAAGTTTAGCGTTGATGAAGGAATTGTTATTTCAGCTGAAACTATACGTAGAATATTCAGAAAGAATGGATTAGTTGCTAGAACTAAAAAGAAAAAGCCTTATTTAAAAAAACCCCCCCCCCCCCATAGAAAAAAACGATTAGAATGGGCTAAAAAATATAAAAATTGGACTGTTGAAGATTGGCGGAAAGTTATTTGGTCAGATGAAAGTACATTTCTTATATTTAATTCTGATGGGCGGCAATATTGTTGGAAAAAACCAACAGAACCTTTAAAAGACCAACATGTTATTCCAACAGTTAAATTTGGTGGAGGTGGAGGAGCTGCTTTACAACTAATGGAGTTGGTAATTTGGTTAATATTGAAGGAATCATGAATGCTGATCTTTATTGCCAAATATTAGATGGTGGTTTTTTAACAACACTTTCGCGATATAATTTGGATAAGAATTATATATTTTTTCAACAAGA